CAGACAGACCGCTGTCAAGGATTTATTGACCGTTGTTAAGGACGCTCACATCTGCACAAAGAAGTCCGTTCGATTTAACTGAATACAGTTTGGCTGAAAAGCAAAGTGCATGCAGTTTGCTTTTCTAACTGACAAGACAAGAGCGACAAGAAAACAGCGGAGAAGTAACGGGCAGAAATCCTCCTTTTTACGCAGGGGTCCAGACATAGACATCAGACGGCGACACATATTCAGTTGCCAGTTACTTTGGCATTAGGGCAGGGATATCTAGATACTTTCCAAGGTTTGACATAATGAATTGTGCTACTTTTAAAGCAAGCAACGATGTTTTCAAATCTGTAATCAAAAAGCTCCTCAAAAACGCTATCGAAGCAGTTCCTGCCGTTGCTACGTTAGTTCAAACAGTAACAACGGACTATTTTTTTCAGCGGATGCATGTCAATTTAAATCAATACAACTATTTTTTTAATCAATAAAATCATTTTCTAAATCCTCAAAAGCATTTAAATTAATATTGAGAGTCATGTTTGTTGAGAATGTGGCCATGTAATAAGCGGGATAATGTGCAGCGACTTGGTCATCATGGGGAAAAGAACACCTTCATGCCGATCTAGATCCCTCCGCTTCTTTGAAGATATCCGCGTTCTTGTGACACAAAGGTCCATTCCCAAACCGCCCCCTACACCCTACCCCTCCGTTTGCGCGTTCACGCGGAGGGTCCGCCATATTGAGGGCTGTTCCAAAGCAACGAGTGTGGAGCGGTGTGGAGGGGGAGTGGGCTATCAAGCCCTCAAACAGCGAGTCTGCAGCGGTGCTGACTTGAGAACGGTCTCTAGCTGATCCGTCTCAACGTGTGTGTCTGTCAGGAAACAAGCTGTTTACAAGTAGTTCCAGCAAACATCCACTGATAAACTGTGATGTTAACAACCTCATGATAACCTCATATGTTTTTAACTTAGGATCATACCTGTGTTTAGTCTAGAAAAAGGTAAATGTGTGCATTTTATTATAAAGTTGTGTATATTTACAGACTGTTGCAAAAAATAAGAAGCTTATAAACATCAGGTTTAAAACTAAAAGAGCTTTGAAACACAATGAAAGATGTTTGGAGTTTTATTTGAGTTATGCATTTAAACTTTTTGTCGAAGAGATGCTGATTTGAAACCGTTGTTACAGTTACGGCATTTCCTGTTTCTGCCGGAGAGAGGGGAGGCCGTCCCAAAGCTTGCTGCTGTATTTACTTTTAAACTTAATTAATTGTTGTTTAGTTAAGGGGCCCCAGTAACCCAGTCTAGCGCAGTTCGTTTGTGTGGTTAGTGGTCACGTCGTGTGGAGTCCGACCAAAAAAAAAATAATAAGAACATAATAAAGAACTAAATAAAGTGGTGTTTTTCTAAATCACCTTTGCAAAAGTGAATATTATACGTATTTTTTTTATTTTAAATTTTTTGAACCGTTCACCGTCGAACGGGACCCGACCGTCCCCCCCGTGTCACTCGAGTAAACGCCCCCCGTACCGGGCCGCTTCTATGGGTGGGACTGCGGCCTGGGACCCACCGCAAGTGTGGAACGGAACGATATTCAAGGCCTAACCTTAAGCTTGGCGACGCAACGCAATCCGGCGAACCACGCCAAGTAAAAACCAGCCACACTGTGTCACGGGCTATGGAGAATTCAACTTGATTTGTTGGCGCTGAGACCAGCGATTTATCGCATCCAGAGCCTCGCGAACGAACGCTTGAGACCTCGGCCAAGTAACGACGCACACTTGCGGTCAGAACTGTGGTTACTTGTAAATCCTTGCGCGTCTCATAAATGCGCGTCTTAGGGTTTAGTTGGGGAGCTGGGATTGGGGAGGCACTGCCTCACTGAGGCAGACGATCGGTGGTGAGCGGTCGAGTTGCTCCTGAGGGAGGACGGGTCTA